GATGCCCTCGCCTGAGAATAAATCTTTGAAAAAAGTAGAAAGGCGTAAAACAGGAGAGGTTAGGGGAAAAGAGATAAAATGGAGAAAAGTGAATAAAATGAGAGAGTGGAGTGGAAAGTATATGGGATTCAACATTTTTCATGGGGCAACGTTTCGTTTTATATTCAGTCGATTATTTTATGGAAGAGAAATTTTTCATTGGAGAGTGGGAGATTATTTTTGCGAAATTATTCAATATGATGAGAGAATGTTCTTGTCGAGATAAAAATCGTATAAAAGCACAAGGATATTTCAGACCATTATCACTTCATTATTGGAGGAAGTATTGTCTTGTAAATCAATTGTTATGCATCAAAAAAAGGTTTTCTTTCAACAGACGATTTTTTTCATTCAAGTTCATTTTCTATAAAAAAATTGACAAATAAAAAAATAATTGAAAAAATCATATAAAAATACTGCGGTAATCTGTACAACTGATGCGAGCTCTGCAAATTTTTCCAGAATTTTTCATCACCAGGATATGCATTAAAAAAATCACCAATTCCATATAAAATTAATGATCGAAAAATAGATTAAAAACCCATTGGGGACCCATGAATAATAATAAAAAATCAATGTCCCTTTCGATTACCAGATATTGGTGGGAGCAGTCAATCCAATAGTCGTGAATTTTTTTTTCCATTGTCGAAACGGGCCGGTTAAGTGCCACGGGGGGAAAGTGGGAGTTAATGTGGTTTGCAAATTCACAGATTCATCCGCCCTATTGACAGAACACGATGAAAATGTGAGAGGGGGGTGGGGGGCTGAATGGATCTGTGAATAAATGACAACATCAGCGAGTAGATGGTGCAAAAGTTGAACGGATTGTGTTTAACTACATGCGAGAGGCGGTAACGATAAAACGCCCTCTGTACGGTTTGGGCAACGCACGATTGGGATTGTGCAGTCGCGGCTGGCGCTCATCGTCAAATTCATTTGTAACGCGGTCAATTATTCATCGACGCGCACGTGAGCATTCCCACTCGGTCCGATTAAAGCCGTCTATTAAAATGAAATCGCCGAACGCTTTTTCTGTTGACCCTTCAACTGTTACCGACGGAGTAAATTGATGAAATTCGTTCAATATCCAGCATTTCCCGGTGGAAAACTAGAATGCCGATTTTGATGAGAATTAGTTGAATGTCGGCATGAAACATAATCCATCTGGAAACGTCAGACCAAACTTGGTCACCGGTGCAGCGCCAATGTTGCGCCGATGATTACCAGTGTTGTCCCAAGCTTGGGCCAAGATAACGCCAATGCAATAAAATGGTAATCAATTGAATAATTCCTGCAGCCATCGCCGACCTCGTCCAGCCGTCCGCATTCCCAAAGTACCATCAAAACAAATTGATGAAAATAGACAGCCAATTAATATCATTCGATAAAGTTCAAATTCATTCGGCAGACGTTGGACAACAGTGCCACATGATGAAGCATGCTTCAATCTAGTTACTGTTACTTATTGAATATATGGACATCAAACGATAGAAGAGGGCAAGGAAATGGCTCGTGGCACTCCATCAGAGAGAGACAGGTTATATACAATAAGTGTTTAAGCAGCCATTTTATTTAGCACCAATCTGGCAAATTGATCCTCATCATCATCATCAGTTCCAAGCACATGTGATATTCATATGCTTGAAAATTCATTCCAATTTAGTAACATTGAATTACTCTTCCACTCTCGTTCATTCATAAATAAAATTGTGATACCGGCAAGTGAATTTTTTTTTGCTATTTACATTCCTCATGTATATGGCTATTTTATGTATAACCGTCTAGAGGAAGTCGGGCCACACCGTCGGTTACAGCGGCGGAAAATAAACGGTCAGTGACGCGCGGTAATGGCCGACATCCTAATCTTGGTCCCCCTACGGCTTAATGCCATACACTCGGCAATGATAATGCCTGCATGTGCCTTTTTTATCATTATCAGCTACTTGTCCGTTCTAGGAGAGTATTAGGTGATGAGACTATTGAGTTGATAACATTTACAATATCAAAGGATAATCAGAAATCACGGTGAGATGAAAATCATAGGTTAGGATTTTTGGCGGGAAATTTGAAGTTGTTCTCTGAGAATAAATTGAAATTCTGAAAAATCATTTTCTCAAAATCTCTCCGTTACTGGATGGAACTCGGTGGTAAGTGACATCACTAGGTCCCGACCATGTTTTATTCCTTATGACCCTCGTGACACATGTGCTTTTTTGTTCATTATCAGCCGCTTGTCCGTTCTAGGAGGGTATTAAGTGATGAGACTATTGAGGTGATAACATTTCCAATATCAAACGATAATCCGAAATCACAGTGAGATGAAACTCACGAAATTAGGTAGATTTTAAGGGGGTTAGGATTTTTGGCGGGAAAATTGAACGGGGTTTAAGGACATTAAACTAAAATTCTGAAAAATCATTTTCTCAAAATCTCTTCGTTATTGGATGGAACTCGGTGGTAAGTGACATCATTAGGTCCCGACCACGTTTTATTCCTTATGACCCTCGTGACACATGTACTTTTTTGTTCATTATCAGCCGCTTATCCGTTCTAGGAGGGTATTAAGTGATGAGACTATTGAGGTGATAACATTTTCAATATCAAACGATAATCCGAAATCACAGTGAGATGAAACTCATGAAATTGAGTAGATTTTAAGGGATTAGGATTTTTGGCGGGAAATTTGAACTGGATCTGAGGACATTAGATTGAAATTCTAAAAAATCGTTCTTTCAAAATCTCTCCATTATTGGATGGAACTCGGTGGTAAGTGACGTCATTAGGTCTCAACCATGTTTTATTCCTTGTGACCCATGTGCATTTTTTATCATTATCAGCAACTTTTTTCTTCTAGGAGGGTATTAAGTGATGAAACTCTTCAGTTGATGAACTTTTCAATATCAAACGATAATCCCGAATTACGGTGAGATGAAACTTCTGGATTTACGCAGATCTTGAAGGTTAAGATTTTTGGCGGAAAATTTGAATTGGATTAAGAAATTCTGTTACCTTTCCTTTAACCCTAAATTGAACTTTTCTGAAAAATCATTTTTCCAAAATCTTGAAAATTCTATCCCGATAAACAGATAAATCCAGCTACAATTGATCAATTCCTATAATAGTTTTCGCGACTCCTAAAATGATCATTATTAATTCTATAAGAGTAAACCCAAAGAATGGCTGAAGCATCACCATTATTGGATGAAACTCGGTGGTAAGTGACGTCATTAGGTCCCGACCCTGTTTTATTCCTTGTATATTCGAGCATCATCTGCGGGCCTCATTGTCATCTCTCCGGGGCTTCAGAAGATGTGTGGCTCTCACACCCAGTGGTAAAACTTGAGGTTTCCACCATTCCACATACATGTATCGCACATGAAAGATGAGGAAATTATTTGTAGTGGTTAAGTATCCAGAAGAGGGAGAAAAAGTGAGTGAAAGAGAGAGAGAGAGAGAGAGAGAAAGACGGACAATACGGTGGCCCGCAGCTGCCGCCCTGGCTGCCAACACAATAATATCTAATTAATTTATTAATGAGGTTAACTTGGCAGGATTGGACGGCAGACAACCCGCGCACTAGAGGTTTATTATTATATTCCACTTTGTATGGGACTGAGATAAGATGTAGCCTTGCTTTTTTATTTTTTGAATTTAATAAACTCCGGCTTGATTGTTATGACTTACAGAGTTTTTATTTTGGGAGGGGTAATCAAGCCATTAGTATATTTGGGCTTCGTAATTTTTATCACTCTGTTTTCATTGGATTGTATTTTTAGGACGATGTACGGTTAGTGTTTGTATTAAGCCATGTTTGGGGTATAAGTCTACAAAGGAGTGAGGGATTAAAGAATCCAATTATGTCTTTCAAGATATAAATTTGGCCTAAAACCAATTGATCATTCTCTGCTCAAAGATCAATCACCATGTTTATCCGAAACATAGCTGAGGAAAAATGTTTCAATGATCGATAGTCCTAGATTAGAAAAGTTTAAATTCAATTCAAGAATCATATCTTCTTGCAGATGTATAAGACTTCGATCGCCAAATTTGATGAAATAGATCAAGTCTCCACCAAATTAACCTAGATTTCGGCTCAATCAATAATTTCCATCACCGTAAATAGAATAATGGGTGATCAACAGTAAATAAATTTAGGCGAAAACCAATTGATCATTATCTGCTCAAAGAACAATCGCCATGCTCATCCGAAGCATAGCTTAAGGAAAATGTTTCAATGATCTATAGTCCTAAATTTGAAAAGTTTAAATTCACTTCAAGAATCATATCTTCTTGCAGATGTATAAGCCTTCGATCGCCAAATTTATGAAATAGATCGTCTCCCCCAAATTAACCGAAATTTGGGCTCAATCATTGATTCCCGTCACCGCCAACAGAATAATGTCTGATCAGCAGCCGATTGCTAACCAATTAGCGCGAGTAATTACATTCAAGGAGGTCCAAATGATTCAATTTTCAATTTCCCCCGAATCCCAAAAACTTGTGATGGTTGCATAAAACTTTTTGACGAGCTTTTCCCACTGGATAGAGAAGCTTAGCCGCAGACAGCTGGCGTTGGAGTCCCTCCAGGGATTCCACCGGGGCTAGGGGTAGAGAGAACTGACGAAAATGAGGCCTGACAGACACCCTTATACCCATCATAGTTGGTCTACTTCAGTATTTTTTCATCCCAACATTTCTGATATCGCTGTATTTCCTAACTATGGGCTTGACATATCTCGTTGCAGGTGTTGCCACAAATTTGACACAGCATAAATATGAAATTTCGCTATGAGTGACTTGGGTATTCCATACTCCTTCCACCTGATCTTTTTTTTTAAATTTCACGGAATATCTTCTTCAGTTTTCTGGAGTCCTCTGACGTCTTCTGCCGTCGGACAACATCAGACGTACATCTGAAGACCAGATCTATCTGTAATTTAGTCATTTCTGATAAGTCTTACCTTGACAAGTGGTGGACTGTGTGTCGCCGTATGATAATGTCCAGTCGTAGGGCTCGCAGGAGGCCCACTGCCCCCGGGCGAGACAGCACCACCGCCGGGGGTGAGAATCCTGGACTCGTGGCTGAGCAACACTTTACAAATTTTCTCCGCAATATTGCGGACCTCCCACACACGTTAATCCCGTTCCTCCGAATTTTCTTATCTCAATCAACAACACGTGGTATTGATATTGCAATCACCGAATGCAACTGATACCTTCACTGATTTAATTATCAATCAGAAGCACTTGATCATCAGTCATTCCGAGACAATTTGCCGGATTAAACGGATAAGTATCTCAGTAACCATTGATCATCGTTCACAAATGATCACAAATGTTCAACAATAATCACTAAATCACAGAATCCAATGATTAAATCAGTATTAAACAAAAAAAAATCAACTTAAAATCCCAAGTTCTCGTGATACATCTCTAAATGATGTGATGGCTGGTGAATGATCACGAAAGCGTGTGACATCAGACGAGATCACTAACTGTTTGCCCACCGAAAGCATGCGTTTCAGTAGGCGTTACTCGAGCATGCGCGCTTGATAACAATGGGCGTGTTCACGATTTTCATTTCTCCCCCATCCCCCCACCCCCCCATCCTTGTAAACCCTGCGATAGCGCGAGGGTTGGGGGGGTGGGTGTCCCACCATCTTTCACGGAAACGGGGGGTGTTTCCCCCACGTGGTTTTATTGGGCAAATAACACGACGACAAACATACACCAGCCCCAGTTATGCCACCAAGGGGGTGAGAGAGGTATCAGGATGGGTCGAAGGAAAATGTCGCTGATTAAAGTGAGACAGACGAGATAGATCTTGTATCGTACTCTCGGCGGAATGGGATAGTGAGATGGTGTAAATCGTGTTTACTGGGTACAAGTGATTCCAGAAGTGTGTTGGTAGGAGTTGATACTGAAATTGCACCACAACGGAGTTTTCCAGGTTAGGTGTGTTGTGGATTTCTTTGGATATTTATTTTGACGTTTTTCTGGGGCTGCTGGGGTGGGGTACGCTGCTGAGATTGAATTTTTAGGGAGGTTTGGTCCAATGGACATGGTTGGGAGTTGATGATTTTTTAGGTTAGGATCAGGGTTTTTGGGGGATGGTTTAGGATTGGGCTAGGATTTTTTTGGGAATTTTTAGGGGGGTTTTTCCAAATTGGGACAGGTGGGACTCGGTAGTTTTTTTAGATTAGGATGAGGGTTGTGGGGGAAGTTTTAGAATTAGGCTAGGTTTTTTTTTATTTTTTAGGGAAGTTTGGTCAAAATCGGATGGTTGCGAGTTGGTAATTTTTTTTCAAGTTAGGATGGGGGTTTTGGGGTGTTTTAGGATTAGGCTAGGATTTTTTGGGAATTTTTAGGGGGGTTTTTTCTAAATTGGGATGGGTGGTAGTTGGTGTTTTCTTTTTAGGTTAGGATGAGGATTTTTGAGGGATGGTTTAGGATTAGGCTCGGTTTTTTTTTTAATTTTCAGGGAGGTTTTCGCAAGTTGGGATGGCTGTAAGTTAGGGATTTTTTTAGGTTAGGACGGGGGTCTTTCGAGGATGGTTTAGGATTAGGTAACGATTTTTTGGGGATTCTTAGGCAGATTTATTTAAATGGTTGGAAGTTGATGTTTTTTTGTTTCCGAATGGAAGCTTTGTAACCATGCATTTTTACGATCTTCTAATTTTGCTTATTTTAGGTTAGGATGGGGTTTTTTGGGGATGTTTTAGGATTAGGCTAGGATTTTTTTTAGCTTTAGTTTCTTGATTGAGGATGGAGGGAGGTTTACGAGAAACGTTTACGGCTATGAACTCTTTTTTAGGCAAGATTTTAGGATTAGGATTAGGACCAAATTCGGGTTTTTGAAAGGGTAGGGTTTTGGTGAATGAAGTTCGAGTTCTTATTTACAGAATAGATTTGAGAATTCAATTTCAGGATTGAGTTAGGATTTTTATAGAGAATACTTTAGGATCTGGTTTTGTGATTGAGGATAGGAGAGGTTCATTAGACTAGTAAGGATTCGCTGATTTGTTTTTAAGTTAGGATGACCTCTTTTTCAAGATCAAGTTTTATGATTAGGCTGAAGTGCGGGTTTTTTACAAGTTACGAAGTTCGACGATTTTCTTCAGTATAGGTTTTAGAATTAAATTTTAAATTCGGATTAAATGAGGGTTGTTTCTTGCAATAGGATTAAGGATTCGATTTTAGGCTATGGTTTTGTGGTTAATAATGGAAAAAAGTCTATCAGACTTGTTAGGATTTGTTGATTTATTTTTAGGTTAGAATGCATTTTTTCTCAAGATGTTTTACAATTTGGTCTTCCACAGCTTAGTTTTAGCGGCTTAGTCTTTAATCAGCTAAGAGTTTTTTGTTGCTGCAAGAAATGACCATAGTCCTTCCGATTTGACTTTCGAGATTAGGTTAGGTACTAGTTTAGAGGTTAGGATTAGGTTATTTCTCTAAGTTTCAGATAATTATCGGCCGAATTCGGCATCTCGTTTTTTCTTGAGTCTCCAGAGAGATGACGGGAGATTTTCGCCGGGGGTGTGGGAGAAAGGGAGATGGAGAAATATGGCGAGTACCAGTGAGAATAATCGCGTTAGGTGTTGAGTGGATTACCAACGCGCCACGCTTCTCTAGGCGGACTGGATGAAAGACTTAGTGTGTACATGGAATCGTTGTAAAAAAATTTATGTATTTAGTTTAAGCGCGTGTTGATGCAATTTGGGATTATGTTGATGGAGATTTGTGTTAGGTTAGTTGAGATTTACAAGAGTTGTCACCAATTTTCCAATGGAAATTTTCATTTTCCTAAATTCAACTTTAGGTTATGTCAATGGAGGCTCCAATGTCCTCCGTCATTTTGAGGTTAGATTGAACGAATTATCATTAATTCAACTATTTTGAGGTTAGAGACCCCACAAACCCATTTTAACACCATTTCCTTCAGAATCAGTGCCTGAGGACGGAATTATTCAATAAAATAATCTCATTGCATCTCCGAGCCAGTTAAAAAAAGACGACAGACTCGACTGAGGTGAATTTCCGAGTTTCGAATTTCACAGAAAAAAATCCCCAAGCGCACTAATGTACCAGCAACTAGGCGGGGGCAAGGAAGGGACACACTTGCCTGGTCCTACGTTTTGGTGCTGTCATGAGAATACAAAAAATGTACTCGAAAAAAAAAAAGATGGTGGAAGAGTGTACAGAGAGACCTGCAAGGACGGTGGAGGCAGAGTGACAGAGACCAACGGTTGGTCGAAGTGGGCGAAGTGGAGAGGGGAAGAGGAGGGGGATATAAGGGAGAGAGGGGATGCTAATACATAAAGTAGCTTAAAGTAGAAAATTGTGGAAGCGTCGTGATGCCTGGTGATTGCGTTACCTCCGGGNGGGGGGGGGGGGGGGGGGGGGGGGGGGGGGGGGGGGGGGGGGGGGGGGGGGGGGGGGGGGGGAGGGGGGGGGGGGGCAGAGAGGGGGTTGAAGGAGGCTGCGCGCACGATTGCGAGGGACAGACGGATGCTCTACACCCTGTACGGGCGCCATAGCGAACCCCTCTACTCGGTTTCTTAGGGTTTTCTGATGGGTTGTAATAATGGATCTTGTGTTTATGAATTTTTTTTTATGGTTTGCAGCTTTGAATTTACTTTTTCATGTTTATTTTCCTGATTTTGACGGCTGGGGGAGGCGGAAGTTTTTGGAAATTCAAGGGTGAGGGGAGAATATTCAAAATTATTCTTAAAAAATTGATTAATTTTTTTAGTTGGAAGATTTGCGTTTCACACTGTTAGAAAATGGCTGAAATTTCCGGTACATTTTTTGGAAATTTTTATCGAATTTAATTACTACTGAAATTTCAAGGAATTTCGTCATTGAAAATTCAGAATTTCATGGAAAAATCAACGAGAGCTGTGAGTTTCAATTGTATTTTTCCCTGAAAATTGATAGAAAACCAGAAAATTCCGGTGAATATATTCTTGAATTGTCAGGACTGTGACACTGAATGCGATTTAGGGGGAAAAAATTATGAAATTTCAGATTTCACTGAAAGTTCAATGTCATTTGACCTCGAATATTCATATTAGATTGGAAATTCAAATAAATTAAGGAATTCTCGTAGTGATGCCGCGAGTCGAGACGAGATGAGAAATAGCAATTTTCTCTTTTCGTCTCGTCTCGTCTCGACATACGAGAGATATTTCTTCTCTCGTCTCGTCTCAGAATTTCCGATTTCAAAAACTTGAAAAATGTCCCCCCCCAAAATGTCCGTAGAATTCACGATTTAGAAAAATGAAAAAATTGACCCCCCAAAATGTCCTCAGATTTCTAAAATCAAGAAACTTTTTTTGAACGGTAGAAACTTTTTTTCTCTATGTTCTCTCGCATCTCTCGTTCTCTCGACCAACAATTCTCGTCTCGTCTCGTCTGTAAATTTTCATCACAAGACATTATCTTGTCTCGTCTCGTTTCTCTCGTTCTCGTCTCGTTTCTCGCGTCTCTCGCGGCATCACTAAATTCTCATCTTTATGCTGCTTAAAATTCTCGAATTTTACTGAATTCTCAATGAAACCTCAAATTTCATGATTTTTCTCCCGCTAAATCACATTCAGTGCCACTGTCCTGAAAATTAGTAGTCAACTGTCCATGAAATTTCTTTTTTTTTCCAACAGCGCAGTATGATCCAAAAAGTCCGAAAATGCAATTTTTAGACCTCGTCCGTACGTATGTGTATGTAATTGTTCGCTAATGAATGGATGGAATTGAATCTTTTTTTTCAAAAGTAGATACTGTTCAGTCCTATCAATCGCTATCAATTAAAATTTAACTCGTCGATTAATTTTTTAGTTTTTCAATTTTTTCGAAAATCGGTTGTCGTTTTCATCATTGATGCACTCTATTTTCTTTGACTAGATTAGTCCCCGCGCTTTGCGCGCGTATGTCCTACTCCAAGGGGCTTAATGTCTGTCAGTGTAGTGAATAGTGTTATATTAGATTTCTGAAGTTAATGTCAAGTTTTCCGAACGAAAAGGTTCAGGAAAGTATTGTATTTTGTATATATAATACATCCATTATAACGTTTTTTTATGCCAGCCTATTCGGCCTATTGTGTTATTAGATTTTTTATAAATGATGATAGTATTCATTAAAGATATTACAATAGTACTATATTATATTATATTCTGTACTGTACTATACTATACTATATTATATAAACTATGTATAATATACAGTATATAATAGACTACTATATGTATTATAACCTATAGTGTACATAAAAAAAATGAATAATGAACTGATAACGGTGATAAAATATATTGAGTATACGATATTGTGCTATATTACACACACCATTATATATGCATCATGTATTACAATATAGTATAGTATAGAATATAACATACACGGAGAAAAATTTTTGGTAAAAATTACCCTTCCAGAAGGATAAACGTGTATTATTGAAATTTTTCGTCTGACTTATATCCGGA